TTTGGTATCATTTCCTCAGATCCGAGATGTTGTTCAATCCATCACTGATCCACGAGAGGTAAGATTGATCAAATCAAATGTTAGGAAGTAAGTTCTACTTCTCATATTTCATCTTTGTTGTTCTGGATTGATGGTTTTCACTTTTCTGGAATAGGCATTTCACCACTGATGCTACCATCAAGCATCCAGTACTCAATCAACCGGCTTCCACCGGTGGTAGAGTCTGAGAAGACTTGGAAGGAATTTCCAAAATGCTGTCAGTCATGATTCTCATCACCTGTCTTCATACATCATCATAACTGACTTCAATTGACTTGACCTTTTTTAGATGTGTGATGACTGTGAACAAGATTTTCATGCAGCCATGTTCAACAAAGGCATGGCGAAAGGTTCCATATGTTAGTTTTCCATTCATCAAACTCTTAACCATCAAATTTAAGAATACTCACGGCTTGATTTGTTTCAATAACTCACCAATTGGATCAACTTCAGAGGGAACCCTTTCTTATCCTTAACAAAACTTCCACCTTTAATTTTTGTACACATCAAATTGGGTTGCATCCATCTCAATCAACATCCACATCAAAGTCCAACCTTTTTGATGATCAATTGAAAGTGAAGGATGGTTGAGACACTTCCAGATCACTTGGCCTCTAATTTAGTGTACAAAAGGACGAATCTAGGGCTTGATATGCCCAACCAAATATGTCTCTGTTCTACAGCTCACAACCCAGAGAATTTCACGTTGTTTAAAACACTTGACAGAATCATAATTCTACTGTATTTGACTTGAGTGCAAGTTTTGGTCTTAAAAATTCTTTCTCATTTCATTTGGTTGCTTTGAGACAATTTAGCAAATGGACCAACTTCACTGTTGTAGAGCAAAGTTACATAGAACAACCTTTTGATCACAATCTCCCTACCGTCCACAAATTCCTTTTGGGGTCATTCACTCCAATGTAGCCTTTCTTCCGCCTAAGTCAAAAGCTGGTTATCCATATTTTGTTTCTTTCATTGATGACTTTTCTAAATTCACCGTGTGCTATGCTATGAAGAGCAAAGACCAAGTCCACCTTTACTTCAAGAAATTTGTTAACTTTATGATACTCAAATTGAATCAAAATGTTCTCAGTTTACGACCTGATAATGGTAGTGAATATGTTAACAAAGAAATGAATGATTTCTGTTTACATGAAGGCATTACTACTGTTTTTGGGGCTCCATACACTCCTGAGTCTAACGGTGTTGCTGAAAGATGGAATTGTACAGCTTCAGACCGCCTTAGGACTTTATTTTCATCCTCAAAGGTACCTTTGTATATTTGGCCTGAGTGCCTACAACAAATCATCCTATGTTTCAACAACTTCCCTACAAAGACAAATGCTGTTCTTTGTTCACCTCTTTCAGCTCTCAATCATTCACCAGATAACATCAAGCTATATACACCATTTGGTTGTGCGGTGGAGTATCTTTTACCACCTACTCTGTGTTCAAAGCTTCTTCCAGTTTCACAAGAAGCTGTGTTTCTTCATTTGGTGCCTGAAGGCAAATACATAGTGGTGTACGACAGAAATTGTCATCTCCTCATCAAAACTTCTTCATGTAAATTTTTCTTTACCAAATTTCCTTTCATTTTGCAACCAACTAAAAAGACAGGTGATGTTCTTTCTCTTCCTTGGAGTGACTCTATTGCTTTGGAAGAACCGGTGTTACCATCTCACATGATCACATCAAAGGTGGCTCGCTACGCTGCGCAAAGCTTTTTTAAGGCTTTGCGGCTGCGCGGCGATCTCATGTACAAGCATAAGTGGGAAACTTCTGCGGCCGCTAACAAAGGGCCACGGAATCGGTCAGCGAAGCGTCAGCGACGTTTCTGAAGCTCGAAAAGCTAAAAAAAAACGGTCGGCGAGAAGCCAAAAAAATGTATTACGGGACGCTACATCTTAGATACAAACATTGGCTGTCACAGTGATCAGATTGATCAAAAAGGGAAGAAGCATATGGCATAAGTGGCATAAGATGAAAAAGAAAGATGGGCATACATAGGGGTAAAGACTGAAATAACAACTAGAAGTAAATATTGAGATCAAAGGCAAGAAGTCGATCGCAATAAGTCGATCACTTATTGCCTTGTTTTCTTGAGACATAATCAAGAACCTTTCGAACCTTGCTGAAGGAAGAAGGTAGAGGGACACCTTGTCGAGCCAGCATTCGAGCACCAACGGTCGTTTCGATTGATCGGGGTCGCATAGAGGCCCGGTTGGCTGAACAAACCTGCCCAGCCACCGTGAAGAGGCGTTCTCCAGGTGCGGAAGTGGCAATTGTGCTAAGATAATCCATAGCTAACGATGCCAATACAGGGTACTTGCCCTCATGAGTCTGTGGGTAGTGAAACAAAACGAGGTCAGCTATGAACAGTCATGAGAGAATAGAGTTATTACATACACTCCACCAATCAAGAGCGATTCTTGGGTCCATTAGCTTGTCCACATCATCAGAGCTCACAGGGTCTAAGCCTTGGATGTACCGATCCAATTCACCTAGATCGTTTGCAGTGTTGGCGTTTTTGTAGAGCTGGAAGACCTTGGGTACCTTATGTTTGACTGACATTGGGGAGACTACAGTGACTTCGTCGTTGATGGAAGTTTTGGAGTTGATCTCTTGCTGACGCTGCTCGAATCGTGAGCGAAGCAAATCTTCCGCGTGTGTTGTCATCACATCGTCTTTTCCAAAGGTCAGAGAAAAGAAGCCAAGGCGAAAACTGGGATGGAAGATTGTTGCTAGTACTAGGGAGTCACAGGCCAAAGCCTCATCCATGTAAATGGTGGTTCGTCGAGACATTTCATAGATCATCGGGTAAATTGGGTCGTCGTCCACGAGTGAATCAAGCCGTTCGGTAAGTGATTTCATCAACTCAGCATACTCGTATAGTACCATTGATCCAGTAGGGGCATCAGCCTCCATTCTCTTACACAAGGCTCGCAAAGGCTGTTTGGTATTTGATTATCAGCAAGAAAGTCAAATTACATCAAATTGAGATAGAAAACGACCCACGATCAATTCCTGGATCACCTCCTGGAGAGCTTCCCAATCTCCCACTGAGAAGACAAGTTCTTGAAAGTAGCCACGTTTGCCTGCATTCTTTCGAGGACGGCGTTTCTTCGCGTGAACCTTTGCGAGATCTTCTTTCATCATCTCATCGATGATCTTCAAGATAAATCATAAGACAAACACGTTAAGGTCAGTTTTAAATCCAACATACCCCCGAGCCAAACATGACACTTACATCTCGTGCAGCATACATACGCTCCCATCGATCAAGATCGATGTTCCATCTAATGCCATACTCGGCTAAGAGGGCAAGGAGAGCTGGTTGTCCATCATCTTGCCGCTTCTTGTTCAAAGCTGTGCGGCGTCGATTGAAGTCCTCTCGCCACGCAGCGGATCGAGTCAGCTTCTTGTTGACGATGTTGAGCTGAAAAGTCACACTCAATCAGTAAATCATTTGTTAATCATGAATGACTCATGAACACTTACGTTCCTGATCAAACGAGCCATGCGAGTACGAGGCATGCCTTTCTTGGCACGAGTAAAAGATTCTTGAGGCGGTTCCGGATCCTCGACATCCTCGTTCTCATCACCACTCTCGGGTAAGTCGTCCTGAACTTCGTCGTCTTCATCTAAATCTTGAAGGTTTCCAATATCATGCTGATCATTCTCATCCTCGGAATCATCATTCAACGGTTCATTCTTATCAAAGTCAATCACGATCGCTTCATCTTCTTCTGCAACACTTTCCATCGCTTTGATGTTGGGAAAGCTGGCCAAGTTCGCATGTCGGTGTTGTTTGGGTGAGATTCCGAGGGCATCCAACCCGGCATGAACAATCAGGCCAGTCTTATGGCAGATACAAAAGATATGCATGGTTGTTGGGTTCCAGTGAGAGCTGGGGTCATGTTCAATGAATTGTCTTTGAAGCTCGGATGCCAAAGTCTTGTTGTTGGATCCTGAATCTGACGCCATCGCTATCATGTAATAATTGCAAAATGAAAGTTAGAATCAAATCTAAGAAGTGATGATCGAAACAATACTTATCTTTTTACAAAGGTCGTGCTTCTTCAGCACTTTGGCTACAGGGGCTGCAAGCCATTCACCTCGGTGATGCCATGCGACCAGTTTCAAACAAAGGTGGCGTATCACAAAGTTCCAGTCTTTGTCCACGAAAGCGACTAAGGCCCCAATAAACGCATGTCGGTTGCGAGAAACCGTCCACACATCTTGTATTAAAGTGAACATCCCAGGGAGGGTCTACCCGATTCGAAATAAGATGAAATCAAAAAGATAATTTCAATACGTTTTCACATCAAGACGACGGACAAAGAAGAATATAAAATTAATAATGTAACTCACCTTAAGCTCCGCAACTAAATTGTCCCGAAGGCCAACATAGAGACGCTTGGCTTCATCTGCCGACCATTTTCGTTTGTAAAGTTTGATACCGGGTCGAAGGTATGTAAGAACTGCCCGTAACATTGGATGTTCGATTATGGTCCATGGGAGACTGTTATTGACTTGCCATAAGGCTATCATTTGATTAACCACGAGGTTATCAAATTCAGGAACAGGAAGGAGAAAATTATCAAGCGAGTGGGTATGACTATCACGGATCTGGCTGGCCAGTTGATCGGCTTGAGTGGGAGGAAGATTGGCGCCTGCTAATATCGCATCTCTTCGACGAGGACAACCGGCTTTGTTTTTACCGGACTGGCTAGATCCGTCGCGGTGGACACGAAGGTTGGATTTCGAAGTCCCGCTGATTCGGACCTCCTTTTGACACCACTTACATTTGAGTGTCAAGGGAGGTGCCAAAGGATCCTGAAAGGATCTCACATATAAAGACATCATTAGCACGCGGTAAGAATAGATGTAATAAAAATAACTTACATCATGTGGGCGACGGAAGGGTGCACCAAAGAACAGAACAGGTGGATCATATTCGATCACATCTGCTTCACCTTGACCAACGGTCTTGGCCCCGCGATTCCGCTTGCGTACACGCTGGTTGTCTTCATCAGAGTCTTGATCAAGGTCAGGATTTGCCCCAGCAGCAGCAGCCAAGACCTACACAAATTGGTAAGAGCAATACACATCATTACCATCAAAATTAATAATGATATGAAAGAATATAATGAAACGACTCACCAACTCAGCCTGTGCCTCCTTGCTTCGGCCAGTTTGAGCACTAGATTTCGACTTTGAAGACTTGGACTTGGCTTGGCTTGACCTCGTCCCCGATTGAGATTGACGACCGCGGGCAGGAGCGATCTTTCGTATGTTAGTACTAATGATCTCAGGCACGTCTGATTCGTTTTCGGTTTCGATGTCGGGAAGGGTTTCTGATTCAGATTGAGAACGGACTCGCTTTCGATTGGTGACTTGTTTGGTGGTCGAAGAATTACGAGGTCTGATCGAGAAGGTAAAAGATGAGCTGGGTAGTGACTGTCGACTGTCGGAAGGGGGACAGATCATCCCACTGGCTTGTCGTGCAGGAGTAGTAACACGTCCAGATCGGCGTGGGGCGCTGTCATCGGTTTCATATCCGGAGGTTGATCGTAAAGTGCTTTGGACAGGCATCTCGAGGGTGCGATCAATTGATTTGATTCTTGATGAAGGGTTAAGGAAGTAGTATTCGATTAATGAGATAAGGAAGATGAATATCGATTATAAGGATAATATTAAAGAAAAGAATCAGTAATGGTAATTGAAGTTAATAAGATCTTATTACTTCTATGTACTTGTATTACTAATCGATTGAAAGAAACTCACTCGATTTCCAAAGACCGGCTTTTGATTGTGTCGCTCAACCATCCAGAGTCCAAATCGCCATTCGAAAATCCTTGCTGACAAAAGACGTTGGGATACAGGGAGAGTTGGAGGATTGGAATTCCTTCCTTACCATGGTGCTGGGATACAGGGAACATCAGCATCGTCGAGATCTTCCTCGAGATCTTCGTCGATGAATTCGTTGATGAGGATATCGCCGATCGGTGGAGGTTATGATACAGGACTTACCAACCTGAGCCTGGGACCCAAAGCGAAGCTGATGACCCGCTTTCGGGTCCTACTGACCCGAAAGCGGTACTCACCCCCCGTTACTGGCCAGGCTGGTAAATGAAAGCGCTCCGCGAGCCCCGTTACCAGGAAACCCCGCAGACTGGTACCGTAACCCAGTTGCGCTGCCGCAGCGCTGACCGCAGAATCAGCGCAACTGGGCCAGCGTTGATCACATCTTCCAAAATTTCTTCTAAAGCAATTACATCTAATGAGTCTCCACCTACCACACGTGTTCTTCCTTCTGTTGCTCTGTTGTCTAATCATTCACCTCAAGAACCTTCACACTACGCCAAACTACATTTTTTCCTAGGGGCATAGAAAAGTACCGTGCACATAGAAAACACTACTTTTCTACTCAGACAACGTACTTTTCTACACTCATACAATAAATTGGTGACTATAGAAAAGTGCATATACACCTCGCTTTTGTTGGTATATGCGTGATTGGTTGCCTGGCCGAGTTGAGACATCAGTCAGGCAAGTATAGTGTACTTATACATACATGTTGACGATGGGGCGTTGGCCCCGGTCACTCCGACCATGTTCAAGTTGGTGTCCAATTTGTCAAGTCTTGTCATACACACACCCAGGTCCCAAGGTCCTTCCCGTCTCGACTCTCAACTCGACAGCATGGAATCACCACATCATGCGCCGACACTCGTGATGTACGCTACGGATTCACATTCGCCTCAAGCTATCCCGTTGAGCTTCAATAGCAACATCATGATCTCACACCACCACCTCTTGAAAGGCTAGCCGGACTCGCGAGCAAGTTTCAGATCAAGGATGATTTACAAAATGGCCACAGGTAGAATGCAATTGTAAGGTGAAGTTCTTTGCAGCACGGAGCAATCTTTATCATTATGTTTCATATTGACATTTGTTTTGAAACTAAAGCCATCCAATCTTCGAATATCACCTGTGTAGCGCCTACAAAGTGACATGTAAGCCTATGTCGGTATGTCACACGCCACGGACAGCCAAGCCGGAATTTGGCCCCAGTGCAGTTTCAGGTGTCCTGGAGCATTTCTTTTTGTTCCAAAAATACAAATTTAAACTATCTAAAGTATCTCAAAGTTATGTAGGAGTAAGCCATAGAGGTCCTAATCACTCTCATTAGCTGCAATGCTGTACCTCACCAAGATGCTTTCCAAGTCTTTAGTCAGAGCGCTCTGGAGACCGCCAGAGCGCTCTGGTGACCGTCAGAGCGCTCTGATTGTGTCCCCAGAGCGCTCTGGACTCGGTCGAAAACTACAAGGTAAAATTACAAGCACTCTGAGCAACCGCCAGGGCGCTCTGCAATTCTTCAAAAGGTGCCGTAATATGTACTTCAGCCCCACCAAAATCACCAAAATCCCACCTCACACTCACTCAACTGCGACCCCATACATACATATGGAAGTTACGATCGGACTTTCCTGAAAGCAATCTGTCTCATGACTCCCCTAATGATTCGCTTTGAAAACATGTCCTCCTACACGAAATTGTGACAAACACATTATTCACATCACTTCAGATTAATTGAATGCGAACAAGATGTATATACAATTGAAGAAGTTTGTTGAAACAAAATCAAAAATTTCACCTCCATCAATCAATCGGATCCATCTGATCCAATCAAATAGTTAGTTGAAATAGACCGTTGACAATATTGTCCTCAATCGGCTTTTGGACTGACAATTGTCAGCCGACTTAGATCCTGAAACTACAGCTTTGGTCTTAGTCGACTCCTGGATTAGTTAGTCAATTGCCGTAGGAGACTACTGATCGTTTGATCAATGTCTTGATTTAAATCAGTACTTACACATCGGATCCGGTGACTCACTGTATCACTCGTACAATAGCCACCAAGAGCCATAGCGAAGCATACCGTGACGTCTGATCAGATGTATCAGATCATGACACCATGTCGATCGATGATACATAAGATCCCTTCATCTATAGATCACTCATAAGAGTACAATGTTTTTTCCATCTCTTTTACTTGCTTCACGTTACAAAAGATCTCAAAGTTCAAGAACAAAAAACAAAAAACACCAGTGAATGAAAGCCAAGGATCCTCGGAAGAGAACACAAAGATTTTCATGAGATTCAAAAAGATAAGACCACATCAATTTTGATAAGTATTTCAAGATTTTATAAGATGACAGAGGAACAATAACACATCTGTTCTGATAAGTGATTTGATTTAACAAACTAATTTTGATAAGATGTAAAAAACAGTTTGAAGTGAATAAAAGTCAATCCATTTGAGATATGATTCCTGGTTGAACAACGTAGTAAAGTAAATAGAAGTGACACCAGCTGTTCTACGTTATCTTCGTTCTGTTGCTACCCTGAACTACAGAGATACAATAGTAACAAACGTGTCAACTACGCGCAGGATTCAAATGTGATTGATGAATCTGAAACTTACCCTTGTAGGTCAAATCAGACTCATTCTGATGAATCTGACTCTTCTGAGTCTTCAATAGTATCTGAATCGGAGGAATCAGTATTGATTTCCACTTTCTTCTTCTTATGTTTCGTCTTCTCCTTGAGTTTATGTTGCCCTTTACCTGTCTGAGCATCTTTCAACCGTTTGTCACCTTCATTGTCAGTATCTTCGATATCTCTTCGTTTTTGATTTCTTCTTTCAAGTGTGATGTCATCTTCATTTTGTTCGTCTTGAGAGTCGGAAGCACTGTTTTGGTCTTGGGTATTTTTGATAACTTGATCTTGTGAGTTGTTTTGATCGGATAATTTTTTGACAACTGTAAAATTACCATTTTCGATATCTTCCAACCAAACTTTTACCACCGCATCAGTGACTTTGCGTTGGCCGATATCCAGCTCCGATCGTTTCAGTAAGGATCCGGGTTTTTGAACGATTTTGACTGGCCAGCGTTTTTTTTCAAGATCACCGATGGGATCCGCTTTCTTTGGAAAGACCGTGCCACGCATGTGAGCACCTGATAGGAATTCAAAGAATGCGAAAATGTACACTAAGCACACATCTGTTGTACAAAACTTGAATATCAATCACGTACCAATTAGTTCATTAAGGCGCTTGCCAAGTCGACTTCTTCGCTCATCACTAGGTTGTTTAGTTTTGCTGGGGCCTTCAATTTCAATTACCGTTTCTTTCCCGTGAACATAGGACGAAAACTTTAGCGGGACTTGAGGATCGTCTTTGGCCCATTTTGCAAATAAAACGTCGTTTGAAAAAGTTTGTGACCACCCGTTGACACCACCACAACTCGCCGTAGTTAAGTAATATGAAATTTGATAACGTTGACACACAACTGCAAACTGTGGCAAAGGAATAAATATATGTTCTCTGAAATTAAAGTCAAGATGTAGAAGTGTTCTTACATCATGGTGAGCCTTTTGAACAGCAATTTGAGATCGCTTTTGGAGAGTCGCAATGGATGGCATTGGGTCGGGCTGTCCGTGGCAGAGGTGAACTTTATCAACATCGACCAGTTTTTTGAAAAGGGGTTCATACTTCGCTTTTTCTTCTTCTGAAAGCGTGTGAACTTGAGGTGCTCGGATAACGGTATCGACTTGTTGCACATCAACACCTGTTTCACCATCATCTTCAGCTTGAACGTTGGGGTCTTCTTCTTGGAGGTCATTGTTATAGTTTGGAATGTTAGCTAATGCAAAGAAATACGGGTCTCGGAAGATATTCTGCTGGTCCTTAGTCAAACCATTCCATTCTTCAGCCATTTTCTGATTACGAGTGATCCAAGCATTTTTATCATCGCGATCAGGAACTGAGCAGTACATAATATGTCAGTGTATTTGTTTTCATAGAATTTTAAAAAAACTTACGCTTTTCACCTAGACATTTAACACAAAATGCAAGAAATCGAATCCAAGGATTCGCCTTCGCCTTCTTGGTACCAAGACCTCTAGTGAGTATAAGTTCTTGTGTCAGTGAGTGCACAAGAAAGAAATGACATATGCTTCACTCACACCAAGTTCCATATCACAATCTCGGGTACACCAGCCATAAGAGCAATCATGAGAATTCTCTTCTCAAACTCCATTCGGACTACTTTGACCAATTCTTTGATTTCTTTCGGCGCGGTGCTCCGTCTGGAATCCTGGTGTACTATAGCTTCTCGAAGACCAATAAGGGTCCATTCATCAAGTGAATCTTCAAACGTGTCCAATTCAAGTTGAGGGAAGCGAGAGCGGAATGGCTGTTTTTTTTTAGTCGCATTAGATTCTTTGGTCGTATTAGTATCACCGTGAGGGGTTTCATCATTCTGATTATTTTCTTCAACCTCTTCTTCTTCTTCGTCCTCAAAGCCATCATCATCCTCTTGATTATTCAACGCTGCTGCTCGTGACTTCGTCTTGAGTTTCTTCTTCGGTTTTGACTTTGATTTAGTCTTTGATTTGGTAGGTCGCTTCTTTGAACTGGTGTCCTTGGTAGCTACAACTGGGTCGGTGCCATCGTTTGTGGGATCAATATTTTTGGAGCGAGTCGAGGGCATGGTGGCTGAATTAGCTGGACGTTGGATGATAGAGGATGGATGTAGGCTATCTAGGCGCTTTGACTGTTGGAATTTGAGCGTGTGGTTAAAGGGTTATTGACTGATCTATATCAAAACGAATATGTATAATGTCACATGTCACAGGCGGTATAGGTTGACCAATACTCTACGTACAGATACTGGCTACACCGCATCTGCTTCCACCCGTTAAACCGTTTCCTTTCTCTCATAGATGAGGGTATTCAATTGGTCTCTATCTTGGTATACACTTGACTTCAAGTTCAGTCCTTCCAACGGATCAAAACTGTAAGTTGCTCATCGAAAAGTGATGAGTATACTTAATGAGAACCAAAAAAGGGTTCTATCAAAACTGTAAGTTGCTCATCAAAAAGTGATGAGTATACTTAATGAGAACCAAAAAAGGTTTCTAAACTCATCAGACTCTTGTTTGAATAAGCCGAAGGTTATAATTGATCCCACTCAGGTAATAAAAATCAGGTATTTAACTCGCATAATTGCTACACTCCGCTCGAAAAATTCTTGATGGCAGAAGCAAAATTGTCTCAGTAAACTCGGCCATGGAATTATTTGTGGCAGGTTAAGGGTTAAAGCGCAGACAAGAAATTGAATCTCCCAATATCTTCAGGTGATATTGGATGTTTTATGGATATTGGATGTTTTATGGTAGAGCGGGAGAGAAAAAGGAAAGTCCAAGTGACCTGTTAGTGACCATTTAGACAGGGAAGTAAGTAGGGACAAAAGTGTCCCAAGAACGTCCCTCTGAAATTGAATTTTGTCAGCTGGTGCAGTAGTTCAAGCCATTTTTACCACATCTCCAGAGTGTGTGTTTGGGGAGAGTGTAGGTCTGAGCCGGCAGAAAAAAGGCATTTCGAAGATGGGTATCGGGAATTTCAAAGGAAAGGAGGGGAGTATTGACAAAACTGTCTTAACAAAGTCATTCTGAAGTTGAATTTTGTCACTTGGGGGAACAGTTTGAGCCTTTTTTCCCCCATCTTCAGGGTGTTTGGGGATGTTTCAGGTGTGAGCGGGAGGAAAAGAGGTATTTTGAAGATGAGTATTGGCAATTTCAAAGGGGAATGAGGGGAGTATTGACAAAACTGTCTTAACAAAGTCATTCTGAAATTGAATTTTGTCACTTGGGGGAACAGTTTGAGCCTTTTTTCCCCCATCTTCAGGGTGTTTGGGGATGTTTCAGGTGTGAGCGGGAGGAAAAGAGGTATTTTGAAGATGAGTATTGGCAATTTCAAAGGGGAATGAGGTGAGTATTGATGAAAGTGTCTTAATAGACTGCCCTTGAAATCGAATTTCGTCCATTGTGGGAACAGCTTGAGCCTTTTTTGCCGCATCTTCAGGGTGTTTGGGGATGTTTTAGGTGTGAGCGGGAGGAAAAGAGGTATTTTGAAGATGAGTATTGGCAATATCAAAGAATAGACTGCCCTTGAAATCAAACTTTGTCATCTGGGGGAATAGTTACAGCGTATTTTCCCCCATCTTCAGGGTGTTTTGGGCAATTTAATAACCCAAAAGTGACCAGATAATGCGAAGACCCAGTTTGGCAAAACTGTTGCACATACTCCTTTACATGATTCTGATACCCACTCACCATAAAATCCATTGGAACACCCTGAAGATGGGGGAAAAAAGGCTCAAACTGTTCCCACAATGGACGAAATTTGATTTCAAGGGCAGTCTATTAAGACACTTTCATCAATACTCACCTCATTCCCCTTTGAAATTGCCAATACTCATCTTCAAAATACCTCTTTTCCTCCCGCTCACACCTAAAACATCCCCAAACACCCTGAAGATGCGGCAAAAAAGGCTCAAGCTGTTCCCACAATGGACGAAATTCGATTTCAAGGGCAGTCTATTAAGACACTTTCATCAATACTCACCTCATTCCCCTTTGAAATTGCCAATACTCATCTTCAAAATACCTCTTTTCCTCCCGCTCACACCTGAAACATCCCCAAACACCCTGAAGATGGGGGAAAAAAGGCTCAAACTGCTCCCCCAAGTGACAAAATTCAATTTCAGAATGACTGTGTTAAGACAGTTTTGTCAATACTCCCCTCATTCCCCTTTGAAATGATCACAGTTGACCCTTTCATGCCCCGTCTAGAGCTTTGATTTCTCTGCATATCTTTATACATAGATCTTGCATCAAGCACTTACTTACATCCTTCCAGTAAGTAAGTGATCTATATCATGAATCACATCATTGTTGTAGTTTTAAAGCAAGTGTAACAATGACACATGAAGGTGTAACAAATAATGCTTGCTGAATTTCTTGTATGTTCAAACCCAGACCAGCGCAACACAGACCTACACGGACTATTTAATCATATGTGTCAACAGTAGCTTACAAGGTACTGACGGATTGACCTGGAATAGTCCTTATCACGTGCGACACTTTTTTTCAGCGGAAACTAGCTCCTAGATATGTCAAGCAATACAACCCTGGGATGAAATGGACCCTTGTCCAAGATTTGCAACAAGAAATAACATTAGGTTATTTTACTTAAGAGACTGATGTCAAAGCTTCAGGAGCTATGAATGCCTCTTTATTTGATCTACCATCAATCAATTTCACTATATTAACACATTTTTCACTTAAACCATCAACTTGTCATTATGGTATTACCAGGTGAAGAGGTAAGACCACCACCCAAGCGCTCTAGAACAAACAGCAACACTTCGAATAGCTCGGTGGGAGATCGACTGGCAAACCTCCTGGGTCGCGAGAACGCCGCTGCCGAGGGACGCATGAATGTACTGCAGGCGCGGCCACCGGTTGTGGCTCCCGTGGCTCCCATTCCTCAAGCAGACCGCGCGATTCGCGAGCCACAAGACCAAGCACTTTACAATGCTTTCATCCCGGAACATGGACTTGATGATCTACAAGAAGATGATGACAAGGTGGAAAGGCCGGCCGCGGGTATCAATCGAGCAGATTACTATCGTTCCGAAACTTACCAGGAACGTGTTCTGAAGGAGGAAGCTAATTGGGAGAAAATAATGCCAGCTTTGTTTCTTGCTTATGTACCATGTAGTCGTTCTACGTTTCAATGGGTGGACCCAGTCTTATGGAATCATGATTTCAACGACGAGTGCCGCTGTCCATCTTGGAAAAGGTCTACAGTCAACATCGATACCATTGACTGGTCTGGTGAGTACCCATTACCATCACTTTTTTAGAAAGATTTGTTCTCTAACTATGATATCTTTATAATCATGATTTAGGCCGCACAAAGACAAGCCTCATGACGTGCCGATGTACATCAGATGCTGTTCGATTGCTACGTAGAGGTTACATTGGTGGGACTCCTGCTCAGCCAAGAACGGCCTATTCGATTCGACTCCTACGCTTCCATCACATCTTATGGAAGTACTGTAGCATTCGTATTGCACCATTTGTCGAAGCTCTAGATGAGTATCTTGATCCCCGAAGCTCTCTACTCTTAGTGTCTGGAAGTGATCAGGTAGGTAGTGCTCGATTTATGACTAATTTGTGTGTAACAGATTTGAAATTCTACTTACATTCACGAGTCTTCATAGACTCGCGACTGGCGTAAAGGATTCTCAGCTGCAGTGGACGCGTATCGAGAATTATTGCAAAGACAAGAAGATATGACCAACGAAGCACTACAATTGTCACCTGAAGACATCCTGGCTTCAACCTGCCCGGCTTGTTTTGGCCCAGAGGTACCTGGCAAGCGAGCTGAAGAGCCAAGGGTGGTGGTCTGCCTCGATGGAAACTTCCAGCAGCGGCGCCACCTTTCGGCTAGTGCCGCGTGGAGAGGTGAATCCGGGGTGATGCCAGCCTTGTTCATGTCCCCACTCGATGTCAAATCCTGGGAGACTCGAATGGTTCCGGAGCGCAACAAGCGGTCTGATGTGATAGTGAGTACTGTACATAAAACATTTGAAATCTTCAAGACAGTTCCTGACTAGACCTTGAATATGTAGCACCCCTGTAGTGATCAGCACACTGCTGCTGATGACATTCGAGGACGTAATACCTGGAAGAACTATTACGAAACAGGTTTGATGGGAATGGGGTGCCGGCACGATCACATATTGAAATTTATCAATATAATACAGAGTGGCGAAAAGTGAGGATGTTTCTTTCAAAGTATTGAACTGCAATATGTTTGAATTACCAAAACTGATGAGTATAATCTCGGTACGTAATACAAAGGGGACATTTCCCAGTGGCTATGCTAGACTGGCTTATGAAGCAAAGCGAACGAGATATGAAGTATGCTGTCCTGTATGATATTGGTTGTAATCTAGAGAGGGGGATTCTCAAAGTAAGTAAATAACGGGTCAAATGTCAGGTTGTTCTTTGAGTCATATTGGAGTAGATATTGATTCTCTGATGAATTGACCATTGACCAGCGCAACTTGTTTCCAGACAAGCGTGACACTGACCTATTGATGTTTGGTACATCGGTATTTCATGCCTTTGTTCATCAATGGTCATGTCAATTACAATACAACCCAAGACTTAATATGAACTGGGGGCTTTCGGATGGTGAGGGGATGGAACGTATCTGGTCAAGGCTCTCATCTTTGGTCAGCAGTCTCAGATATTCCACGTCTGCCCATCGGCTTAGCGCGTTGAATCTGAAAGGTAAACATCACAACGAGTCTGGACGCGCGAATTTGGGTGAGCTGATCTGATATGAGTATGTATAAGTAAAAAAATGAAATGAAATCACACTGAAGTCGGTGCTATTGGTTGTCTTGAAGTGAGATGGTTGTTGTCACGAGAGATTGCAGCTCGCAAGCTGTATTCAGAGAGTAAATCGAAGTTGGATGTTTTGAAGCGTTTACCGAATTACACTGAAGACTACTTTGTTCAACAATGGGAACGCCAGCGTCATTGTCAGCTAACTGCAATGGTCCATGAAAATACTGACACCTTGAGCAAGAAAATGGCCAAGCTCGTTGGTTTGGAGCAAAGTCTGCAAACGTCTGAGTTGAGTGTTTTCTCACATAATCTAATATGTTTGCAAGATACCTTACAGTTGGCAATTAGGGAGGAGTTTGAAAATTTGCGATCAAAGAGGAGACGAGATCGAACTCCAGCTGAGCAGCTGGACTTTGAAAGTCTACCTGCTGCAATCCAGGTGCTGAAAGCAAAGATTGATGAGGTGGTGGACGAGCTTGGGGGTGATGAATACAGGGATATTCCTGAGCCAACAAGTAAGCTCACTATATATTTGTGCCAGATCATGGTACACATGCCTACTGAGGTCTTTCATCTGCAAAATCTCAGCAATCAAACGTCGAGGCTTGATCCGGATTCGAGTGGCAAAGACCAAATTGCACGTTGCAAAAATTGATGTCTTCACTATGCAAAAGCATAGTGACGAACGTGCTGGTGTGCGATGATTTAACCCTTCAGATGACATTGCATACACTGATACAATGATTCAATTGAACTTAGGTACCCGTGTACAACAGAAGATGAAAAAATCTTTAAGCGAAAAACAAGCGGGATTCAAGTCGAAATACAATACATTTAAACGTTTGGTCAATGCTTTCAACGACAATTTCCCAGAAGGCCCCAAATTCATTTGCCCCGTATTTGAAGACCTACGAGCACTTTCGGTCTATGACCCATATTGGGATGTTGGTCAGCTGACTCACCCTGGGGAGGCATGGGCTGTAGATCAAAAGACACAAGAAGGTATTAAGGCTTACCTAGATATGATACATGCTCATGATGAGCTCTGTCGAGTCGGTCGGGAATGTCGGCAGATGATTAAGTGGGCTGTGAATCTAGAGGGCAAGATGTCAGCACTGCGCACTGCGCTTGCACTTCAAGGTGAGTGATTTTTCTTGGCCCACCCGAAGTGATCTGTTCTGATGTCATCTGTGATCGTGGAATCGTGGTTATGTAGATGATGATACTGAAAGCATTCCAAACAGAAGGATGTTGAAGGTAGTAGGTTCGGTGAAACCAAGGATGACAGATCGTCTACAAGAAAGCAAAGAGGTCCTTCGTTCGCTTCTCGAACATCTAACACAAAGCCGTAGTCGACTATGGATAGCATGGAACGTCGGTATGTCAAAACTCCTGAGTAGAACCCTAGAATACAGTCAGCAACCACCCGAAGTCGAAGCTACACTCGAACTCCAGTGGAAGGCCTTGGCAGCAAAGTCAAGACAATCTTGGGTCACTCCAATCCTTGACGCAGAGCCGCACGACGTGGATGAAGCCGCAGAGTTGGAGATGCCAGGTGATGAGGATCTCGAATTTGAGTGGTGGTTAGACGAGATGAACGAAGATGATGATGAAGGGATTGAATGAGTAAGTAAAAGTAGTTGTTGAAAATTAGCGATGCAATGCATTAAATGATGATGTGGATGTAGGATCAGTTAAGGAAAGACTCTCACAGAGCTTTGACGTGAATGTAATTGGTGTGTGATTTGCTTGAGGTAGTATCGGGTTGAAGGTTTTGATGGAATGAAATGATTTGTGAGATGTGAGTGTGAGAAGAACATGCAAGCCGTCCAATGAGTTGTTCGAAATGATGTATGAGTAAGTATGTGAGTGTAAGATCAATATGTGAGCCTTCCGGTGAATCTTCAAGAGCAAAAAGGGCTTGAACGAGATATGTGAGCCTTCGATGAGTCTTTGGAGTGAAAAGGGCTTGATTGAGTGTTGATTTGTGAGCTTCAAATTCTTGGCGGATCAAGTGAGTATTGATTGACTTTGAATTTCTAATTCGGGAATAATGATTTACTTAATGCGAGGGTATCAAATAGATGAAAACTAAAGGTTACCGAGGTTATCGAGGTGATGAGAGGTGACAAGGTGGGGTTAATACCAAGGTCAGAGCGCTCTGAGGACCGCCAGACCGCTCTGGGGACACAATCAGAGCGCTCTGACGGTCACCAGAGCGCTCTGGCGGTCTCCAGAGCGCTCTGACTAAAGACTTGGAAAGCATCTTGGTGAGGTACAGCATTGCAGCTAATGAGAATGAGTAGGACCTCTATGGCTTACTCCTACATAATTTTGAGATACTTTAGATAGTTTAAACTTGTGTTTTTGGGACAAAAAGAAATGCTCCAGGACACCTGAAACTGCACTGGGGCCAAATTTCGGCTTGGCTGTCCATGGCGTGTGACATACCGACATAGGCTTACATGTCACTTTGTAGGCGCTACACAGGTGTCGAATATAGATCAACTTCGATCTGGTTGATAGGTTATTGCCGGATATTTCAGGGTGAACGCGGTCATCTCAACGGTCAAACCAGGTTTCTGAAACGGTAGCCATCAATCCTTGATAACTATCAATCTTCCTTTGTGGACCTCCATCCGTGCCACAGGATAGTCTGAAACCCCAAACGTGATTCAACCCAACCATGTCAGGTATTGATCGTTGTAACTAGATACCACAGCTCCATAATCTCCCTTTTATCGTTTGTATCCTCTGTGACCTGAAGAGCTCTGAAATCATATCCCCTTAATCGAACTACTGTATCTTCAACTTTATTTGCAAAATGCTATCCCCCACAAAGAAGACTCGTCAAACCCGAAGGCATATCTGCACTTGCCAAGCCCACAACTGCTTTGCTGCCCGGTTTACAGACGCAAATGGGACCTCTCGTCCAGGCATTGAGCTGAGTCCGGAGGCGTTTGAAGCCCATCAACGGACAGAACTACGACTACAGGCTCAAGCAGCCCTTAGTGTTGAACCCGTACGGCTATCTCCCAGTTCTCGGCCTCAGACCCATATCGCAAGTCAGGATGATCTTGCATCACGGCTTGAAAGAGTCGCCCTGGGTTCCAACCTTCGTGTGGTACCATCTGGGAGCGGGCAAACGAATTCGTCAAATGATCGGCCATTCACAACGAGTGCCACTCGTAGATCGAGACCTTCCCATGAGACGGCTGATATCTCAAATGATCGCAATACTACCGACGAGCATGTTGACACCGTAGAAGGCCAGCTTGCCGCAGAATCAGTGCAGGTGTCCGGTATTCAAGCTTACAGCTGTGGTAAGCTTTTTTCAGTCGTGACTGAGTTGTCTGAATTTGATCCGTCAAGGTGCTTACCCAGATCAATTTTAACAGCACGATTCTTCGAATTCAGCTTGGAGTTCATCAATCCACTACACTTGCACGCAGCACTAGCTGCAGCTCTCATGAACATCTTTAGCCACGCTTCGTTGAAGACTACATCGTGGCTTCTGGATGTGCAAAGAAGCAACATCGAGCTATCTTTGACACATGGCCTGAGGCCCACCGCTTCACCAGATCAGCTTCTACCTTACGATGACGAAGTTCTACGCCGGATCCCGAAGACAATTGCGACGGTTTTTGGATGGCTGCAAATTGATCCAACACTTATATACATGAATTGCTGCCCATCGTGCTTTGCTTTGTATCCCCTTGAAAGCGCACCACCCACATGTAATCATAGGATTTCTAGCATTCCAGGTGGTCCACCCGAGTCCATGGAGCCCGATGACGAGTTATCTGCTATGCCATCAAACGACATCGACTTTACCGAGCGTCTCTGTGGCGAACCTCTATTACGTTTCTCTAGAGGAAGTCAGGTCCCTGTGCGACGCTATGCATTTCAGAGCCTTTCTGACTGGATTGCGCGATTGCTTTCGCGACCTTGCGTTGAGTCATGGCTTGACGAGTCCTTGGTAGAGTCAGCCAAACCCTTCGACCCGGATAAACCTGTTCAAGATATACATCAAGCCAGGTTATGGAAGTCATTTCGCGGCCGAGATGGAAAACAATTTACTGCTAAAAGTGGAAATCTTACCTTTGCAATGTTTGTTGATGGAATCAATCCATTTGGGAACAAGCAAAGCGGTCACCATGTATCAATAACCTTCATTGTACTGGTGTGTCTGACACTACCCTTTCGGATTCGTTATCAACCAGAAAACGTCTTTTTAGTGGGGGTCGTTCCAGGGCCGCGGGAACCATCCCTCGAGCAGATGAATTGGGTTTTACGCCCAATCGTAACTCAGCTGCAAGTTCTTTGGAAGGAAGGCCTTCTTCTTTCACGGACGCATTCACATAAAAAGGGTCGCCTTATCAGAGCTGCCCTGCTACTCTTTATAGCAGATCTACCTGCATTACGACGATCACTCGGCTTTCCAAGTGCAAATGCCAACTACTTCTGCTCCATATGTCTTTTGATGAAGGCGCACGCAAAGAACTTTGACTCCTCATCTTGGCCACCCCGTACCACTTGCCAGCACAAAAAATGGGCATATTCAGCTCGGGATGCTGAAACGGTCAAGGAGCGGGAAACTATTTTTAAAACCCATGGAGTTCGTTACTCAGTTTTGGTTGATCTTGAGTATTGGGACATCATCGACTGTCACGTTGTTGACTCGATGCACAACCTTTTACTCGGACTACTAGCTTGGCACTGCCGACGATTTTGGTCAATGAAAGAGTTCACGGATGATGAAGATAAGCCAATATCAATCAGTACAGTCGAGTTATTGAATCTTCTTTCGGAGCACTCAAATCCACAATCACAAGCAAAATACGTGAATATCCCCATACCAGAAGAGAATGAAGATGATGATGAGAACATAAATGATATCTTATTTTCGGAAAATACGGACTCAAGTGACGAGGATTTTGTTCCTTTGGGAGAAGGATGGAACGGCACATGGGAACCTCCACCAGTTGACAAGATTATATTTGATGCGCCCATGCTGAAAGAAATCAATGCGCTACTTCCTCAGATTCATATTCCTAGCTGGATCAGACGTGCGCTACCAGTTTTGGGTAAAGCCTCATTTGGCAAACTGAAAGCTGATGAGTGGAGAAATTTATTTACAATTCAATTACCTTTGATCCTCATTCCAATGTGGTATGGTCATGATCATGTCAAATCGTCACTCCTCAAGAACTTCTGTCATTTGGTATCGCTGGTCAACCTGGCACTCAAGCGAGTGATGACATCTGAAATCATATCTTCATACCGCCATCATATACGGGAATATTTAGAGAGTTCATTCCTGCTCTTTGAGCATTGTAAACCAACCTGTAACCATCACATGGCTATACATCTAGCTGATTGCCTTGAAAAATCCGGCCCAGTTCGCGCTTGGTGGTCATTCCCTTATGAAAGGTTGATGGGGAAAATCCTTAAAGCAAGTCATAATAATCACATAGGTAAGCTTATCTCTAAACTTTTTGCCTTCTATTGACATACTGAACTTAACTTGTTTGTCTTTCACAAGGCGAGATCGAAATGACATTCATGAAGAGTTTTTGTCGCGCGGGAAATCTTGCAGGAATTCTTGAAGACGAAAAGCTACCTGAGGCTCTTCATCCTTACATATCACGCTTGAAAGGTCTATACGAGCCGTCACCAAAACTCCGAAGACAAGTTTCAAACTCAAAGATGGAATCTCTTGATCCTGTCGTCTTGAAATCATTGACTAAGCGCTTGAATACACAAAGGCAAGATGACTGCATATGGGTGATGCCAGAAAAATGGGCTTCGATGTCAAAAGAGAGTTCTCTCGGGTTCTCTCCAGTTTCAGCTCAAGGAATATTTTACAATCAAGTTGCACATTTAGATGTAAACTTCTCAACATTCAAGGCAAGTCGCAAAGACAGTTTTATTATCTTCAAATCACTTCAAGGAAACACCTGCTTTGGTCGAATTCACTCTATCTTTACACATCGCCGAAATCCAGAGCCAAACAAAATAAAAAAAGATACATGGCTTTGTGTACAAGCTTTCCGTCCACTTTCCCCCAGTCAGTATAATCCATTTTCAAGAATTGATGCACCAGACGTCCAGGTCGAGTTACGGTTATGGGAAAAGCCTGAAAGTGTGTTGGTCAGATTAGATGAAATTGTGGCGCACTGCGCCTGGATGATGTATAAACCTGGTTCGATTCACAAAAGTTTGAATGTGTCCACAGTCGCATTGGTGTCTATGGAACGATAGATACCTTCAATGTATTTCTTGAATGTCTAGAATTTCAGTAAGGTCATGTATGTATTGAGTATCTTCAGAGTTGAGGAGCTTGAAAGACATCTCAGATTAATGACTTGCAATACAATTAAGAGTCATCTAAAAATTGAATAAATTCATGTATATAGTTAGTAATTAAACTGTCGCAAAGAGATATCATATTGATGACTCACATGATCAGCAATCATCATAGTGACTTTATGATAGGTATTAGAGTTGAGAGAAGAGGTTGGCGGACAATATCAAGTGCAGACCTTTCAAAAGGTGTCAATGTTTCAAGGTATTGTGGCGAGTAGCAGTCTATGGGAAGACCAGAAGGGGCGGCATGATCTGAAATCAGAGCATTGGGACACCGGAGTCGAGGGCGTGGAGGGCGTCCGTTACTTGATGAACTACGTCGATCTTTTGGTGTTGCCGGCTTAGGAATACTGACATCTATCCGCGCTTTATACTCTTCTAAAAGTATAATGGTATCTGTCAACTCAGAGCTGCGCCAACTCAGCTTTCGGATGTGAACTGGAGCTTGTGGTTGGTCGGAGTCAAGGTGTAGACAACCCTCGTGATCCGTCTCGTCGTCGCTGCAAGCCGCTTGGATGATAGCTGAAAGGGGCCACAGGGGCTTTTGTGCAAGTACTACACGGTCACGCTGCTTCTTTGTCTGGCGAAGACTTGCATCAGTCTAATGGAGATGTTGGGAAGCAGATTGAGAGGATTTGACCCACATAGCTCAGCCGGGCACGTCTTCGCACTGCGCTGGCAGCGCTCTTTTTTCGAGCCTCAGCCCAACTTTCTTGCTGATACCTAGGTGTCAGTATTACATATCAATATTCTCATTAGACGATGTTGGAGCACCTGAAGTTGAGAGAGAAAATACAACAAACCGTTTCATAAGAGACCGTACTCGTGTATTTAAAAGTCTCTTGAGGTATCTTTGGTTGTCTGCATCAAGCGACACGCCCGGATATTCACCACACTCAACCAGCTTGATGAAGATGCTAAAAGCTAGATTCCACAACCATCTGTTCTGTGCAGAAGATGGTGATTTGGCGAAGTCGGGACGAAAGCTAGATACTCCCACAAATTGCATCATGGTCCGCATGACTATCAGCTGTTGAGCTGTTGCTTTGGGATGTTTTGGCCGGTCACTGATTGGAGGAGACGTTTCAGAAGTTGATGCGGATGCTTCGGGTGGACCGGGACACGGTTGAAAATCATCAACATCGACATCAATCTTCCATGCCATCTGATCTTCATCAGTCGCTGGAGATGGGAGCCTGGTTGTATCTTCAGTACGGCCTAGGAGTGTGTCGATATGGAGCCGCATCCAAAACTGATGGCCAATGTCAGCTTAGTTCCTCTTGCTCCAGAGACAAAATAAGAACTCACAGCGGATCTTCCGCCCCGCATTTTTGGTTCAGGCGAGGCGGTAGGTTTGACATCTGCAAATTTACTCACGACCTGCGATAAGACGTCCAAATCCTTGGTCACGAGCTCAAGTCTACGATTGGTTTCTGCCAGTGAGTGTTTAAGTTGATCTAAAATGTCACACTTCAGTAATCATAATCACATAAAATAGTATTGTAGGGACCCGTATGACAACTTACAATATTTGAAACGCCATTGAGGCTCGTCTTTGTCCTCCTCGCAAGGACCTTGGCCGTGAGCATCAAATTCATCAAACTCAGGGGCTGGACCCGCCGAGGCAGGCTGTGATTGGGTTTTCATGAAAGGTGGTGGAGATGACCAAGACTGCGCTGGCTTGTGTTTGATGGACTCGCGAGGCGGGCTTTGTTTATCAGAAATCGAATTTTCAATTCCATCACTGGCATCGTTTGACGATTGGTCGTCGTCTGGTGGAAGCCAATCGTCGTCAGAAAGCTCTGTTGACTCTGGGTCAGCCGTTGGAATTAGTTTAGAGGTTGGGTTAGGGCGAGGGAAACGGAGACGTCGGTGTTCCAGACTGGGAAAGTTGTCCTGGAGCACATCCTTCTCAGTGGGCTGTTTCTGAGAAAGTCCGGCTGGGAGATGTAAAGCGTCACATCAGAAATACACTCATTCTACGTACCAAACTGGGGAACTACTGACCTGGGTCTGATGTTGGGATGTGCTCCGAAGACGCGGAAGGTGCACGAGATGTTGCTCTTCCTTTACCCTTATCTCTTTGTTTGCTGATTGGTGACTCGGAACGACAAACGGAGTCATTGGCTACTTTTTCCTTAGCTTCCATTGGGTTCTTGGAAAGTGTTGCACCGGCTACGATGGAAGTTTGATCTGGTCCAGTTGATGTAGAACCTTGAGTAGTACACGTCGAGCTTTGTATAAGGGATGGTTGCCCGTCATCTGTGTGCACAGGTAGGAGGCGGGTCAGCTTGGGCCAAATCGACACCAATAACGATATTCAAAAAGACATACCACGACGTTTGTGATGAGACACTGGTCCAGCTGATAAGGGGTTAGCGGGTGAGACTGACTCATTTTAGTCAACACATTCATCCAATCAGTATCAAGATGAGTTGACAAACCAGTGGGTATGGGCGAAGAGCCAGCTTGAGGTTTTGGCAGTGCAAATCGGAACATGTGGCGAGGTATGCGAACTGCCGAAAGTTTTTGATCAGGCATCAGCACTTTAAGCCAGCATTAAAATTGAATCAGGCCCAGACGTACTTAGATCACGGTTCTGATTACACAGAACAACCAGTTTATCCTTGGGAAGCGTCTTGCCATCTAAGCCGATTCCTTCAACAATTTGAATCAGGTCGGGGAGCTCGAGCTGGTTGAAGTCGTAATCATCTGGCGCAAACGGATCTTTAACAACTTGTCCTTCGTGATGAGCATCCTGTGTTCCGGCGGGGGGACCTGAAGGGATATGGAGTTCAGAGTCATCTGCTACCCGCTTGGGCCTGACTTCGTGAGTTGATCGAATCCTTGAGACTTTGTTGTCACGGCTGAGCCTTGGTCTCTTATTCTTCACAAACTTATTGAGGAGATCGACCAATCGGTTTCGGGACGTCTTGGCTCCAACCAGAACACCTACATCGTCAAGACGTCCAGATGTTACTCCTTGTGGTTCTGGTGTGTTGCTTCCTACGATCCCGAGGCGGGGCAGCGGGTGTCGGTGATGTACAGATAATTAAGTGATCAGCGCAACCACCTTACACATATGTAAAGCTTCCAACCAAAAGGAAGACAAAATCAAGACATAGCTTACCGTCTGCTAAGCTGAAAGGTGAAGGTGAGCGCTTCCGGCGCTTTCCGGAGCGGGTTTGTTTACTCGAACCACTGGGAGCTGAGGTAGCTGGCGGCGGAGAAGGTGATGAACGATGTGGCTGCGACGTTGAAGAATGAGGTGGTTGAAGAGGGGCTGGTCCGCGTGCTTCTGAAGATAAAGGTATGTTTTTGCCTCGCAAGCTTCGACGAGGAGGATTCTGGATTGAAGGGATTGAAGACATCATGTGTCATTGAAAGCAATAAGCCAAAACAAAAAACTAGTATGTGTCAAAGTAAGTAGCCAGTAGGCAAAAGACGTCCACCTAACGTGTCCTTGAAAGAAAATCTGGCTGGGAATCACGTATTATATGTGTAAATATATATCTCATGATGGATTCCTAATTCGCATTCAACACATCATGCCTAGTAAAAGAAGTTGAAAGGCTGATGTTCAATCAACTATCCTTGTCCATTGTCCACTTGAGAGTTGTAGTGTGTTTCCATGTGATGAGGAATGATCTCTTGTGATCATCCTCACCAAAAATCAGTGACCTGGTTACACTCAAGCAAACATGAGCCATATTTGCGTCCAACACATCAAAGGACATATGGCAAGTCTATGATTTCGCGCAAGCTACAAGTTACTATACCCTACTATACCTCAGTCATCAAACAACGCGACAAAAGTGGGGTGCCTTTACGATAACTACCATATCTGATCTCAAAGGGATCTACACGCCTACAAAACCGCTTCCAAGAGATAGACAAGTAACCGGGCCGCTCGAACGAGACATATGCCTCATAACGATCACCTAAAATTGGTGAGTCACTCACCTACGCCACGGACCAAAGGGATTGAAAGATGTAAACACCAGAACCCCGCAACAGCTTCTAGTAGCAACTTCGGATCAAACTCACCATGCATTCCTCTTGGTTTGGACACGTTTATACTTAACCCTTTATCATCATAAAGGGTCTTACACTGCTCCTCACCCAAACTCATTGCTTCGTAGGGCATGTACACTCGTCGACTGGAACAGTATAAGTAAAGCTCATACGATCACGGGTTCTGGTCTTCCCCCTCTCGCATCAACATCCTAGCATCCCCATCTCCAGTTACATGACTCTTGACTGAATATCACCGCGCTGTGTTTTATCTGTGTCTTCTGTCTTTGACCCTTTATTTCCGGAACATCTCATCTCCTGTTGATCGCACTCACGATCAACGTGCAATAAGCTCTTAACCTACGACTCCAAAGCTACCATATCACTTTCAAATTGGAAAACAAATCCTTGAATAAGCCTATAATCGAAGCCTCTAAGGTACACATGATCTTCTGTCTCTCGGCGAAATATTCTTCGATTTATTGTAGTTCAAGTGTACTGATCTCTATTGTTGACTTTCAGTTCCTCATAGACCGGTCTTCAATTGGCTTTAATATACCGATTCGATTCCCTACGTTTTCAAATACCTTGAATATTCCATGTAAGTCTTACCACACCCTATCTCTGAAAGCTTGTGATCACTGTACTTATAAATATTGATCGAACGTAGTGATGGCCAAGAAGGCAAAAGACTCCGGCTCCACCGGCTCCACTTCGGTCACGTCGCCAACCACTGCAACCGAGATACTTGGTACTATGCAGAAGAAGGGAGCGGCTTCAGCCGCAACCCCAACTCTCGAAGGCTACCCACCATCATCCACCAAACAGCCACCACGATCGCCAAACGACGACACTCGCTTCCATCCTTTATGGAACGCTGTGCAAGCCTTACCAGGGGGCCTTCGCAAATTTCTTGATCACGACTATATGAGCAAGAAGAAATCGATCAAGAAGTTGGAATTCTATTTGATCCTCTATCACTTCAACCCGGCCACCACGTCTCGTCCTAACCACCTCAAGGCCAATTTGGTGGCAGAGTTTGAAAAAGAATGGCTACCCCGCCTTGAGCCATTTATATCCGCTGCTCCGCCTACTGCTATGGACACCGATGAAGATGACTTCGATCCCTTGGCCTCAACTACCACTCGTCGCATGTTGAAAGAAGTACTCCAGCGTAAAGCTCCTAGCGTCGATATTGCCCCAAATGCGAAGATTGATGGTTTACGTCGGCTCTACAAGCAACACGTTGATCCAGACCTTCCACTACCAAAATCTACGGAATTCACTCGCAAACCCCGTCATGTCAAAGAAAACGCTCTCAAAGGACTTACGATCGAACGCCTTCGTTTTGCTATACAATGCGAGGCCCCGGAGGTTTTCATTCACACTGTCGCATTGACCCGTCCTATTTGTCTTGCCTTATACATCAAGTTTGTCAGTGAAGGGTCCGTTGAGCCTGGTGTTTTAATTGAGGGCTTCCACTACTCTATCATTGAGCAATGATCAATGCAATGTTTCTCTATTTTCTTTGTCTTGTCTGACGTTCTTGTATTAGTACACCTGGTTTGTATGGTATCACATTCAGTTTCTTTTTTGCTAGTGTTTTCCGTACATCCAGAGGCTTTACTTGTTGAATCAATTTGTATCGCTTGAACTGCACTGTACTGTCGGTCAATACAACATGGTCTATTGCTTGTTCAACTTCTTACAATTGTCAGCTGCTATGCTGGTTGCTGACAAATGTGAGTATAC